CGTCGGCATATTCCATTACTAACAAATACTTTTTCAATTGATCATTTTGATTTTCTAGTTATTTAAAAAAATATAAATAAATTAAAATTAAAAAAATGAGATAAAATAAAAATGAAAAAATAACAAAAATAAACTTTATCATGAACATTAAATACTTTGTTTTGAAGTTATCCCACGAAAATGAATAATATTATCATGAAAATCAACTTCACGATGAAGTTCAAGCTAAATTATTACAAACCAATTTTTAATTTGATGATTTTACACTAAATAGACAGAAATAAATCAAACACATATTGTATTGTCTTTACCTCACGAACAAGTTCTTTAACAGAGACATCGTTATTAAACGATTTTAACGCGAAAAGTTGTTTTAAATTTTTCCAATTTGCACGATAAACTTTTCCAAAGCTACCCTTACCAATCACTTCGAGATTACTAAAATGTTTGTAATCGTAGTATTTGATATTTTTACTTGAAATATATTCTTCAATCTCATTTGAATTTTTAGCAGCTTTCATTTTATTTTATTTTATTTTTTTTTTTAATTATAAATTTTGGAGAAAAGAAAAAAAAAAGCACTTGGTTGATCGTCCAATTCTAACCCACCATTCACATTTAATACATTTAATGATCTGTGGTGTAACGGTGAAAACTTCCATAAATAATTCATATTCTAACTACCATCATCTTTAATAAAATAAGAATATGCATATGCCTATGAAAGTTGAAGAGAAAAAATTACCTAAAAAAAATCACAAAATAAAAATAATTTAATGAAAAAAAAAAATAACTTACCTACGCATTCAACTCGTCTAAAATAAGAGAAAAAATAAATAATGAAATATGAATCGTCGCCTTTTTAAGTTAGTTTAATATTAACGGAAATAAAATATTTTTATGATAAATAGAATATAAAACTTTACGCTAGTTAAATTGAATTTTTTTTTTTTATAAATATTGGCGTAGCAATTTTTTTACATATTCAAAAAAAAAAAATTTGACGCCAAATTGTGACGGCTGTATGTTTTGCAATTGAATATTTTTTTTTTTTCGAGCCCCTATGTTGTCAAGACCCACCACCGTCAAATCTCTTTTTCAATCTTGCTTGAAGCAAACGAAGTTTATTAAGAGAAGATGAATGTTTACATAAGTTTTAATATATAATTTGTTGTAAAGTCCCTACACTTGTTGTAGGTGATTAATATATTCGTTCTCCGTAAGGGGTCGGGTCGTATCGGGTTATAGCTAATTTCAAAAGTCACGGGACGGACGATCATTTTGCAGATCGATAAAAAATTAACTCGATATAGATTTTTTGAAGAAAAAACATAATCGCTACAGATCAGTGTTCCGAATATAGCGACATATAAATGTGGTTGGCTTTTCCAAATCCTTATAAATGTCGATTTTTAGATTTATAATTTTAGAACTGATTTTTCTATAATCTATTGAAGAATTATATTGTGTCCATGTTTTGAATGAGCAACATATAATTGTTGTAATACAATAAATTTAATATTGTTGATTAACCACTCCGATTTTTTTAAGATGTCATAATCAAAAAGATTCTTACAATGTTCTTTGGCTATTAAAAAACGACATTGGAATAGTTATGATACTAATATGTACTGATATTTTTTTAATTTAAAAAATAATGGTAATTTTTATTTAAAGATCTACTCAATTGGATATTGATAACGTATCGAACTGAATATCAAATGATTTTAGAAATGCTCCATGATTTAATTCCATACATTAGATAGTTTCAGATTCCTTTAAAAACTGTTTGGGAATAAGTAAATTCATTTAAACCATTGTTTTCAAGAAACTTTATAAAAATATCATTGATATCATATTTATCATATTAATCAAGATAAACCACCAGATTTCTTAATTTTATCTCAAAGTAATAACTAATCATTTAATTCTAACCTTATTAACGAAAATAAATTATTAATAATTGGATTAATAAGGAAAAATCAATTTATAATCCTAGAAATAATCTTATTTGTTTAAACTACTTTATCGTGCTAGCAAGCATGGGTTTGATGTAAATACTTTTCATAAATTGTGTGATAATAAAGGCTCAACTATAATGGTATCAAAATTGCAAAAAATGGTGAATTAATTGGTAAGTATAATCCATTAAGTTGAATACTTGTGAAAAAGAATATATGAGTTCAACGTCAGATAGTTTTTATTTTCTTTATTGCAAAGCTTGCAAGAGTAATAAGCGATGTTGAATATCAAAAACGTGCTGTGTATTATATATAGTTCAATAGTGAGGCCAGCTTTTGGTTCTGAATTTGATTTAGTTATTCGAGGTAATAGTATGAATTGTTATAGTAGCAATACATATTCAAAAGTACATAATATTCTAGATGATAAACAAACTATTGCAGATTATGAAGTATTTCGGATGAAACAACAAGAATTTTAATGAAATGTTTAAAAGGATCTTTTAATATTTTTCATCAATTAGAAAATAAATATTTGAATGGTAGATTAGAAGTTCTGGGTAACCTTAATTAATTGGACATTTATTTTATATTACATTGATTTATATTCTGTTTGATGATGTAAGTTTCAATTGGAAAAATATATTCAATAAACATGTGTATCTTTATATTTATCACTGATTATTAAATAAAATAAAGAAATATATACAATATTCATTACCATAGATTAAATTCTTTCATCTTATTATTATATATCTTCATCCTAAATGACCAATTTTGTTAGACTTTATAATTCAGTAAATACATGAGAAATAATGGTTCAACTATAATTATTTTAACAACATTACAAGTCAAGTAAATTGTAAGTTATTTGGTTAGGTTAGAAAACGCGTGAAAAAGAATATTAAATGGATAGATATGTTTTTATTTCTTTAACAAATAAGATGCATTTAACGAGAGTAAAAATCAAAGTATTGAAAATTCAATACTTATAATTTAATATTATATAATTTTTATGATTAATGCTAACATAATATTGGATATTTAAATTTATAAAAAAGCTAAATATTTCAAATAAATAATTTACTTTTTAATATACTGATTTGTAGATGGAATGCGAATTATTAAGTATTCAGTAATTGAACATGTAATTATATTATTAACAACATTTTACAAGCACGGCAAAGAAATAAGACATATTTCTAGGACCATAACATAATAATATTTCTATCCTTATCTGTCAAGCTTGCAATAATGAATTAATGACTTTTGTACAAAATTAAAAATAAGTTATTCTATGGATGGCGATGATCATATCTATTTATACTTTATAAAAGCTTTCTTGGATTTTGGATTCCGAAAAAGTTTTCGAAGGAATCTGATCACGGATTTAATTTGTGAAGGTCTCAATTCTTAAAGTTCCAGTGATATAAATTAGAGTAGACAATTTTGTATAATATCTTTCGAGAATATAATTCTAAATTTCAATTCTTCCATCTTGTTTTATAAAATCTTATTTGATGTAAATTTAGAATTTTCATGAATGATCTCTATTATTATTTATCAAGCTTTTATAAGCCTCATAATTAATAGAATTCAACGGGTTCATTTCTTAATATTCACCTTGATTTTTGATCAAATATGATCGCCCAAATTTTGTATATTCAATCCAAAGTTTACGTAATTGATTCACAATTCCCGGTATATGTTGACCTGGCCCTTAGAATTAATGATTGTACATGTACAAAGAATTCTTTCAAATTTAGAATTCTTCTATCAAAATTATCTTTCATCGGAAAAGAGTCGTCTAAATAGTTTCTCGTCATAATTTGTAGGTTTGATGAGCAAATTTGTAACATACGCCTAGTCATGTGATTAAAAATAGATCATTGTGATATGAATCATTTAAAACAATGTTGCAAAGATTATTTTACACCATGACAAATTTACCTTTGAGTAAAATTATCAGAATAAGAAGTTTTAGGGTTCAAATTCATTCAAAAAAGTTGATAAAAGATTTGAAGAATTATGCAATCAATCACCAAAGATCGAAGATAATTATGGATGATGACAAAATTCCTCAATTAGATCTTTTGTACGTTTTCCTTTTATTTTGTTACTAAACTTATTTTATTTATTCATCCAAACGTAAAAAGAGACCAACCTTTTAGAGAATTTTGCAAGTGTTTGCGCGGATAATTACCAGTTATATATTAAGTCATATTCAATTTCGATTTTAAAATAGAATATAATTTTAAAATTGATTTGTAGAAAATAGCTGTGTTTTGATCGATGAGGAAAATCATGGAATTTCGATAATCCGAATCGGCTATCAATTTTTAAAATTTCACTTCCATCTTTGATTAGACGATGTATTTCCATATGAGAAGGATTAGGAGCAACCTATGAATGGAATTTTCGATGTAATTGCGACATGAGTTGTCCGAATCGGGTTATACAAGGAGCAAAAAGACACCAAAGAAATTTCAGGTGATATAGATCATTACGACAAAACGAAAAATCTTTATTCAATGAAGCTTATATTATGACAAGATGTCTTCTTTTTATATTTAAATCATTAAAACTAAAGAAAGGGGTGGGTGTTAGAACATATAGTAACCTATACACTATTGATATGTCTTTGAGTATAGATTATTTAAGGAAATCTAAAAAAAAGTCAATAATTTTTATATTAAAATTATTTATTTATTTACTTTAATGATACACAATTTTAAAAAATTTTTAAAAACTCTATGATTCTAATCAGAAGTCGGATATATAAAAAAACCAAATTTACAAATAAGAAGAAGCGTTATCCAAACATATTACAAATAACATGATTTGGAATTCCAGATCTTTTTAGACTCGTCTCTTTATCCAAATGCAAACCTCGCGAATTCTTCTCGTCAGTTTGCATATCTTTTTTGCATTATTGTAATTCGAGGGGAGAGATTTTGAAAATTAATAATAATATAATAATTCATTGGGAAAGCTTATCATTAAAGAAAAAATAATCTCAATTGATAAATACATATGCGTCTTCAAATAAATATACCAGATAGGCTTCAGTAGCTTTGAATTTATAGAGATAGATAAAAGATTAGGAACATGAAGATAACGAGGAATTGTTTCTTCAATACCTTCTTGAAGAGCTAAGATCGCAGCGGATAGTAATTTCTGCTGATCTTAGGCAAATCAATTATATTACTATTAACCGGTTGTTCAACTGGTCAGTTAAAATCGGTCAGTTAACCGGTCGGTCGGTCAAAGGTCTTTGACCGACCGTTGACCGACATTCCTAGTTGTTCCTATCAATATTGAATATATTGAATATAAAAACGGCCCCATAGTTCCTGCATGAAGATAACCAAATTTATACCTATTACTTCCTTTTTTGGAACGGCCAACGCTAACACTATATAAAGTGGAATCACCTGACACCAACAACTATATTTCATGAATTTTATATAATGTTATTACTACGAACGGCTTCCTTTAAAGTGCTAATCTACGATTGGACGCTTTTCCTCCGGACGATCCTCCTTCTCCACCATTGGAGGACGTTGATCCATTTCTTTATGAAGTTGTAAAAGTGGGAAATGTTGAATGTAGCAAAAAAAAAGATGAATGTTTGAAAAAAATTCTATAACGATTCAATATAATTGGAATTACGAACGTATTTTTTTTTATAATTACACCTCTTGTTTCGGAAGATATTAAAAAATATTTAAAGATCCGAACTTGATTAAGCTTATACATCAATAACACACGAGAATCTTTATAGAATACTGACTAATTCGAAAATAAAGCAGAAATTTACCATGCCCATGTTTAGAGAATAATGCACTTCTATATAGCAGAGAAGATAACTTACCCGTTTGCGTCCGTTTTTAGTTTTGTCATTTTTTCTTGTATATAAAATGAGCTCAGGTAGCTTTTTTATTGGATTAATCATTTTTTTTTATTTTATAACAAGTCGCTAACATTTGAGTTATTCGAAACAAATTTCCAATATTTTTTTAGTATTAATAAAACTAGTATGTCTTGCATTGGAAATTCTTTCTTTAGTCACCTCAATAGCAGGATTGTAATTCAATTATTTCATTTGAAGGTGTATAAAATCTTTATACATCCCGAGGACAAATAAACCGACGTACTGTATATTATGTTCTTACGTATGGTATTATTTAATCATAATATTATAAAAAATTTCAATTATTTTACTCTATCAATGCATATATCTTTCCAAGCAGAGAATTTTGCCTGAATTTGAATGGTTAGGGTTGTCCATAGCCGCCATATTTCGAAAAACCTAGCCTTTCAATCTATAGACGGTGGATATTTTACAACCTCTTATCAATTGTGAAAGCTCAATCTTAAAGAGTACTATGATTACGTTCAAAAATGAAGCTTGAATTATTCGAGGTTTCTATAATGCGTCAAGTTTGGTTTCAAATATATAACGAATTCACCGAATTACAATACCTGATATATGGTCTATAGGGTAAATCAAAACTTGTGAATTACCGATCGTTGTGTTCTTTTTCAATGCTTTGGAGAGATAAAGAAGTATGATCAATTGTTGCAAAAATAATTTTCATGGATAGTTAATGATACGTTAATCGTTGACTCTCGCTGCTTCATCTAACTTATTATGTTCAAAATTTTTTCGTTAGGTAATTTTTATGAAATCCAAATAATCAAAAATATAATTCACTTACATATCATTAGTCATTTACTGGTATGAATGTACTATAACTTTGGAATGGGCGCGTCCGCACAATAGGGGTGAATAAACCGAAAGTGTCATATAACGTTGCATCATAACAAGCATTAAACCCCTTTTGTTTGAAAAAATAATTTACTTCTCCCACTTCTCTCAGACCGAAACTTCAACACCGAAGGTATATTTGCTATTTTATTTCCTTTTTTTTTTTTTTTTTTTTTTTTTTTTTTTTTTTTTTTTTTTTTTTTTTTTTTTTTTATTTTTTTTTTTTTTTGT